GGCTTGTGTGGGCTAGCAGCTAGCCTCGCTCTTATACCTCCGCGCTTACCCCTCTTCTGCAGCCTCTCGTTCCGCTTGTGGCGCTTCCATTGTGGGCGCAGCGCAGCGGAGGGGGTCGGTGGTGGAGCCGGAGTTCTGAGCAAGCCGCTAGCACGCAGCCCCTCTCGAAGTTCAGAGCTAAGCTCGAAAAGTGAGCTTTTGCCGACATCAAGCAGCGATTCACGGCTGTATATGCGCTTCAAGACGTGAGCGCATGACGGAGACGTACAAAAATACTGCGATTTACAGAAAAAAACACATGAAAAAGCTGCATTCTCGGGAGAGAGTGTAGCCGCAGCGTGTGCTCGCGCCGCCATATTGAATATTAGCGTCTATGTCTCTCGGTTGGCCTGGGAACGCCTTGGAATCCTCCCAGAAGAGCTGGAAGAGGTGGCTGTGGAAAGAGATGTCTGGGCCTCCCTGCTCAAGCTGCTTCCCCCACGACCCGACTTCAGAATAAGCAGAACATGATGGATGGATGGATGGATGGATTTAAACTAAAATCTATCAATTTCTGTTCCCTGGGTAACTATATATGATTTTAAACATCATTACTGGTACTCAGGTTTATTTCTATTTTAATGTCTGATTTTATTTATATTCACATGCTGTCGGGTTGTCACTTTGTCTTACAAGTTATGTTTATCTCCTCATTGTTTGTAATGTTCTGCTTGTTGCCATGTTTCACTTTGGTGTTTCAGGGTAACTCATGAAAAGTGTTGAATTATTTCCTCAGTATTTCTGTCTACCTGAGTCAACACAGCCAGCACCCACTTCTGCATGCACAGGTCTCCCATACTTCTCCTCATGATAGGATCTGTGCTGTTTCTAGGTGTTGAGTTTGACAAATGAGCTGTGCTCATCTCATCATGTCAGTTTCCCCTGGGGCAACCCCTGAAAGCCAGGACATCAATGCCAGGAGCAGGAGAAGGAAACAGTCCAGTTTTCTGTGTTGACAACAAAGTAATTTAAAGCCCTGAATTACCCAACTCTTTTATTTTTTTTTTACTACACTGTGTTTTTTTTCCTCAAACACAACAGATTTTCACGGTGGCTCTAAATTACAGGAAAAGAAAACTGAACGATAACTAAAAAATGTTTACTTTAAAAACACAAAAGAAGATCACACAAGATTTTGTCAACTGATATTTGTCTAAAACTCATGCATAGGTAGGTAGATAGATAGATAGATATGTAGCATGAAGCTGCATTGCTCTAACTATGACCCCTAACCCTTATTCATTTTCCAAGCTCACCTTGAATTGTTTTCTTTAAAGTTACTTCTGACTTCAGTAATGGCTGATGTTTTTCCACACATTTCCCATCCTTGGGCACAGAGTCAGCTAAAGTCTGACTAATGTTTACCTTATTTTTTCTATGTTTCTAAGAAAGAAAAACATCATTAATGAAGTTTGTATGGGCAGCAAGGTGGCACAACTGGTACAGCTGCTGCCTCTCAGTGAGCAGGTCCTTGGTTCAAACCCC